TAAACTGAGCTCACATCCTAGAGGGTGCCAGGCCAGGTTGCCAGGGAGAGGATGAAAGGGAGGGGTTGGATGTCTTAGCAGAGACCTCACAGCTCCTAGGCTGGAATGCAAGTGCACTCTTCAGGCCTTGACCCTGTGCCCCACCCCACTCTTAGCTGATGGAGGATATTCTGCTTGGGGCCACAGCCACACTTATCATTCCTTCTGCAAGACTCTGTCTCTGCTGGCTTCTGCCACGGCAGGGAGTAGATACATACCAAAGTAGATCCTGGAACCTGGTCCTGTCTGGACTCCATTTCCCTTCAGGGTCTCAGATTCAACTACAGATTTTGAGTCAGATAAATATGACCAGTTCATGAGATCTTGGACAAATCCTTGCAGGTAGTGGTGTCCTTATTTATGCCATAGATATTAGCAGTTCCACTTCTCAGATGAGAACCCTGATGTTCAGAATGCAAAGACGCCTTTCTCAGGGTTGATAGCTAAGAAAGGACTGAACTTCGGTTCAAACACAAATCTTTCTGATTTCAGGCCCCTTTCCTTTCTCTGTTAAAATTTTTAAAAAGTATTTTCTCTGTATTTTAGATTTCATACAAAAGAAAGGTACTTCACACCTTTTTTTTTTTTAGTTGGAGTCTCACTCTGCTGCCCAGACTGGAGTGCAGTGGCACGCTCCCGGCCACCACAGCCTCGACCTGCTGGGCTCCAGCGATCCTTCTGCCTCAGCCTTCCAAATAGCTGGAACTACAGGTGCACGCTACCACGCCCGGCTAATTTTTCGATTTATTGTAGAGATGAGGTCTCGCCAAGTTGCCCAGGTGGGTCTCGAACCCACGGGCTCAGGCAATCCACTCACCTCAGCCTCCCAAAGCGTAGGATTACAGGCTGAGCCACCAAGCTGGGCTACTTCACACCTTTTATAAAGATCAGAAAAACACAGTAATCATTATAGTTAACAATGCATCCACTCATTCCAAATGCTGTGTTTGCTGTGCACTAATAGGTGGTGGGCTGTGGCCCCTGTGCACCCTGGGAGTGTGAAGCTCAGGCCAGTTAAGGAAGTTGGCAAGAAAGATGGCAGATGCCAAACCTCTCTTACCTCTGGTCCTTTGCACATGGTGATCCCATCTTGAATCTTTCTCCCTTCCCCTAACCACCTCTGCATCACTAACTGATTTGTCCTTCAGGACAAAACCCTCTCTGATTCCCTCCCCACTGGCCTGGGCTCAGTGCTGCTCTTTATTTATTTATTTATTTTTTTGAGTTGGAGTCTCACTCTGTTGCCCAGACTGGAGTGCAGTGGCCCCTCCCAGCCACTGCAGCCTCGACCTACTGGGCTCTGGCGATCCTTCCGCCTCAGCCTTCCAAGTAGCCGAAACTACAGGCACACGCTACCACGCCCGGCTAATTTTTTGATTTATTGTAGAGATGAGGGCTTGCCAAGTTGCCCAGGCGGGTCTCGAACCCGCGGGCTCAGGCAATCCACTCACCTCAGCCTCCCAAAGGCATGAGATTACAGGCTGAGCCACCGAGCCCGGCTGCTGCTCTTTATTTCTACAGTCTTTGAGCTTTCCCCATCCCAGCAGAAATTTCACTGAACCGCCATCACCTGTGTGTCTGCCCAGACTCACCAAGGGCAGGACCCATCTGATTATTGCTGTACCTCCAGCAGCCAGCACAATAGAGGAAGTAATGAGTAGTTGCTGAATGAGTGAAGTAAAGAATGAATTAAAAAAATAAGTGAATGGGGAAGGGGATGTCTCCATTCTCAGCAAGGTCTACCCTTGTGTTACATTTCATTCAGACAAATGTTTATTGACTGCCTTATGGAGACAGGTACTCTACTTAACTTCAGGGGATTCTAGTGATAAGCAAAACCAGTCAAGTGAGAGAGAATATTAATGACTAAACAATAAACAGATACATATATATGGCTTGTGGAAAATGCCATAAAGGATAGGAAGAGGACACTGTCAGAGAATATCAGGAAGGGATGACTTGGGGTGGGTCAGATCGGTGTTTGAATCCTTGTTGGCCCCTTACCTGCTATGTGACCTTAGGCAGTCCTCTTCACTTCTCTGGGCTTTGGTTTCCCACCAGGAAGAAAAGGCTGCTTATCTCCTTCTCTTTGGGATAATATCTAAAGATAGACAGCATTCATTCATTCAATAAATATATGTTGAGCATCTCCTCCCACTCAGAGAAATTACCTTTCCAAAATCACCATGATGGGTAGTGTGTATAGGTTTTGGACCCAGGTCTGACTGGTTCTCTGGATCCAGCTGATGGTGAGGGATGGGGGCAAGTCCTAGTCTTCTTCCCCTGGATTCATTCTTCTAGGAGTTGGGAACAGTGCTCTGCCTGATGCTGGCAAAATGCCTGTCATTCTCCCTACCATGATGGTAGTGGGGGCTTCTGACCTGAGAAAGACTCAAGGTTGCATGATACAAAGGAGACCATTCAAAGGGATACCACTACTCAGTAGACAATCCTCTTTGCTGGGGACCTCCTCCAGCACCTTTGCATCCACTAAACCCTCCCCTCCCCCTACACTGAGTCCCATCACATTCTCTGAACAGTTCTTCTCACTGAGACCTCGCCCCTCACCAGGTCATCCCTGCAAGCCCTTCCCCTTCCCCTCACTGAACCTCCATTACTCCTGGTCACCAAGCACTCTCCCTCTGACTGACTTCCTCCCCTTAAGTCCTCCCCACTTCCTCTTTGCTGAGCCTGGTGCACCTCAGCCACCAGCCCTGCTTTCTGAGCCCCTTCTGAGTGGCCTCTCTGGAGCCGAGCTGTCTTGCCATCACTCAATCTCACTCAGTCTAAGCCATCTGAAAACATTTAGAAAACATGTTTGTGGGGGGGAGGGGGGAGGGAAGCTCTGTCCTCACCTTCCTCATCAGACCAGTATAGCTCTGCCATCTGTCTCCTCTTTGGACTGCAGCAGTCGCACTGGTCACACCTTTCACAGGTCCTCCTGAGCCCAGAGTCTGCTGCAGGTCTTCCCAATTGGTTTCAGAGTTGGTTTCTGGTGCTCTGGTCCTTGCCCCTGCCCACCACAGAGACTGCCCATTTCTGATGGCACTTTCTTTTTTTTTTTTGAGTTGGAATCTCACTCTGTC